ATTTATGTTTGTATTTTCAGAAGAGTTTAATGGAACACATTCCTTATTTGTCAGGCTCACGTGTACACATTACCCTGTGCAGCAAAGACAGTTTTTGAACAATCTTTGGAGCTCATGGATACATTTTAAATTAACCCAGTTATGGAAACACAACATGGAGACACCAACATTTCCCAGGGATAACTAAGAATAGGATCCTAGATCACTGTCAGGTCACATCCATGGACAGAGATCAAGTAAAGTTCCATCTCTTTTCCCTACGCATTTGGTTATTTTGATCCTACCCTTCCTCCAAAGACCTAAAGGTGGCAAGATTCTACCCCCTGTTTTATCCTCACAACAACCCTATAGGGTAGATTAGGTTGAAAGACAGTGTGACTATCCCATGGTCACTTAGTAAGCTTTAGAGCTGGGTGGGGATTTGAACTCAGGCCGTCCCAGTTCTAGCAATACTCTGACCACCCACTTTTTAAAGCATCAATCCCTATATAAAATGTCCCCATGGAGGTACATTCAAGACCATAGGGTCTTAAGTGACCCTATGGCTGCAATGCTAAGCATACTATGAACAGGCTAAATAGAATGGAATGGGTTTGGCATCTATTAACGCTAAAAATAATTCTAAAATAAAAAATATGGATGCTGACTCGAGAGTTAGACCTAAAATCAGTGGGGTCTACTTCCAAATTAGGTTTGTCGGACTGTAGCCTAACAAGGTAACCTTGAGCGCATTTACTTCCCACGGAGTTCAATCGTATTGGGCTCCCAAGTAACTGTGTCTCACAGGGTTGCCATCCCCCAGGAGGGGCTTGGAGCCCCCAGATTTACAACTGATCTCCAGGATATCCTGGAGGCAAAATGGCAGCTTCAGAGGGTAGAGGCTGCATGAAATCACATCCATGCTGAGCTCCTTTTCCTCCCCAGGCTCTGCACCTAATTTCCCAGGAGACTACAGTTTTTTGAAAGGCATTTAGTTAAACCTTAAACCCACTTGTCCACATCTAAGAATTCCTTTTGGGAACAAAGGATTCAATGTGTGCGTTAAACTGTTCTGCCTACAAGGGCTCAACATAGAGAACACTTTATTTATTGCACTTGTATCACCATTCTTAACCATTACACTAAGCCTGTAAGGTTGTTTAACATGAGAACGGCTGGTCCAAGATCACGGATCCAGTGAATTTTTATAGCAGGTGGAGATCTGAACCTGGGTTTCCCCAGGGTGCAGTTAGTCCTTCCCTTGAAGTGAGTGGAGAAATATAATTTCTGAGAGGGTTGGGTTGCTATGAGGAGTCCAGTTCTATTAAAATGAATGATCACCCTCATTTTGGTTTCATTAAGAAGTTGATTGCACCCTGAGATACAATTGTACTGAACTTTTACTGTTGTATTTAGTCCAGGAATTGCATTTAGTTTGGCACAGCAAACAAGGATCCAGTGAACAAGTACTCACAATGTGGTCCAGAAATATATTAGATTATTAGTTTCTCCTCTGGGAAGTTACAGCAGATGGCTGTGCAGCAGACATGAATGAACTCCATCAATCAGTATAGAATGTGACAAGGTTGTGGTCTTATGCACATTCACTTAGAAGTGAGCTTCATTAAGCATAGTGGGATTTTGTTCTGAAAAAACCTCTGTTGGTTTCATGCTGCATGGCTGCAATCCTAGTCTCATTTACTCAAAAGTAAGTGCCATTGAACTCAGTAGGATTTACTCATGCGCAAGTATAGTTAGGATCAAACCATAATTCATCTTTTGAGTTTCTAGCAGTGCTTGCTTTAAAGGGCTTCTTGAGTTTGTTGCTCAGCCATGTTACTAGAGTGAAGAAGAGATTGGATTTATACCCTGCCCCTCACTCAGAGTCTCAGAGCAATTTATAATCTCCTTCCCTTCCTCCCTCCACAGCATACATCCTGTGAGGTAGGTGAGGATGAGAGAGCTCTGAGGGAACTGCTCTTGAGAGAACAGCTCTGAAAGAACTTGTGATTGCCCAACGTCACCCAACTGGCTGCATGTGGAGGAATGGGGAATCAAACCAGGTTCTCCAGATTCGAGTCTGCCGCTCTTAACCACTAAGGAATCATTACATGTGCAGGCAACTTGTATGTAAACTCACAAGACTACTTATTACAGCTTCAGAAAAGATATATGAGAGAAAATCGTAAGGGCAGGGTTGCTAACAGGCCAGGATGTCCTGTCCCTTAAACAGAGGCCACTGTGTGGAAGTTTTTCATGATATGGGAGCAAATATTCCATTAAACCTATATTAAAAGGACAAGGCATTTTTCCTCCAAGCAGCCAGCAACCTTAGAAAAGATTAGTTAGAGTTGGTAATTGGCCAAAGTCACCCAGCCGTGTCACAGCATTGATTTGAATCCAGATTCTCCTTGGTTAAGTCCAGTACTGAGGGTACTTTACCCACTATGCCACACTACCTCTGAAGTAACAATCATGTACAATGGATATCAGTTCCTGTGGCAGTGGCCAATTTTTTAGTTGACGTGATAAGAGTGAAAAACTTGGGAAACTCAGTTTCATGATTTTATAATTAACTTAGATTCTTAGTTGATTGTGTCATTTTCTGTCTCTGATTTTAATGTTGTATATGCCATTAAAGGTTTATTGATTGATTGATTGATATCAGTTACCCTAGTTAAAATTTCCTGTAAAAATAGTTATTGCAGCTCAGGTGTTACATACACAGTCTCCACACCAACCCTCTGGGGTAAGATCCTAGTCTATCCCTCCAACCACTACACTGCAGAGGTTACAAACAATCTACAACTGCAGATAGCCAAGAACTCTCTGTAAATAATGAAGATGTTTATGATAAAATACTAACTACAGAGTAAGTCTCATTGAAATCAGTGGAGTTTACTTCTGAGTATATATGCCAAGTATTACACTGTATGTTTGCATAAAGATGGAAAAAGTCCCAGAAGTACTTACTTTCTGTAAGTCCTGTGAAAGGAACCATTGGCCTAGAGTTCTGTTGCTTTCTGCTCTCATAGCTCTGATTCATATTGTTGAAGATACTTAATGTTGTGGCTCGATCTTTGGTGCGATGCTTCTGGGCTGCAGCATCAGCAATTCCTCCACTATCATGACTGTGTTCTTTTTCTTTGTAACCTTGTCCAATGCAAAATAAAACAAAGAACCATTTTTTAAAAAATTGTACCTATACAAATACAGATCTATATAGTTATACATTACATATAGTGTTGAGACTAACAAATGGCAGCAGAAAGAATCAAAAAGAGTTCCTCACCTTTTCCAAAGTGAATGCTCTGCAAGGCCAGCATCCATATTAAAACAAACCTACAAATGCAAAGAAAGAGAAACTTAGAATACATAGGAAAGGGACAATAGAAAGAAAAGCATATTGTATGAGGAATCCAATATAATGAAGAGTACAACCTCTAAGCATGCCAACTAGAGAGTAAATCACATTGAACTCACCAAGACCTATGTTGGAGATGAACAAGCTTTGAATCACAGAAATCTGATACAATTGAATATTTTAGCCAAAATTATCAAAACGGAATCCAGAATTATGCTCCTCTGTGAGATACTAGTATAATCATTCTCTTTTCATAATGCTATCAACCCTAAAAAACTATTTCAGTTTATTAGCACAACATTTTAAACTGGTAAAAATCAAGGCACCCTGGAACCAAATCTGAAAATGACATTATTTTGCTAGTTAAAATTTACCTTCCTACATGTAAAGAACAAAATGTACAATGAGTAAAATAAAGACAGTTATAGGACATGACAAGCAGACCTACCTAGTGCATTGTCTCCAAGACATTTTCCTATAGCAAAGAACTTCAAAGGTAAAGCAAAGTCCAAGGGAGAGCTGCTCAGGCTGTTCTATGGAGTTACCTTCATTCCACTCAAAGGAACCACAGCGATAGGAAGAAATCTCAGAGCAATAAAAAAAGAAGAGGAAACTTCCACTGGTCTCCAGCCTAGTGCATCACAGGTGAGATATACAACTTCTAGTACCCTCCTCCCTGAAGTACTGACAGTCAATGCTAAATCTTCCTGAGCTGTCTTGCTCTTCCCCTCCCCTAGCCGACAAAAATGCATCTTACAGGAGGTGGAGCAATCTCTTTAAAGCACAGCAGGAGGCAGGGCTGAACTTTTACAGGAAATCCTCTGTAACATTGGTCTTCAGCTCCTGGGGTGAGACCCCCAAGTGCACTATGGGTGTTATACCAAGAGCATCAACAACATTAGTATGTTATTGAGAAAGCACCCAAATAACTGAGCACTCTACACAATTAAAAATAACGCAGGCCTTGCTTGTGATGAGAGCTGCATGTAGCTTTAAGTGACTCCTCAAGAAACAGTTTGTTTCCTCATCAAGACCTGTATGGGAGGGGCTTCAATGGGGTTTTGTGTTTGGGTGCTGCGGTTGTAGCCTGGGCCCTCAGTGTGTACCAGTGTTATCCGATTGGAAGTGTCTTCTCCTAAGGGGAAGACATGAAGAGACCTGCTGCTGAAACTACTGGAATTTCCTTGTGAGTGGCTACAGAACAGGACTGGAGAGTGGAACCAAGGTAGGTAGGTAAGCTCAGCCACAGTGTATACTACACTGCTCATAGGCTTACAATAATAGGTTTGAGACAAACTAAGGGGAAGAGTACAGCAAAAAGGAATGGGCAGGCATG